CTGTGCTGAACAGCAGGACTGAGGAGGTACCCACTGGGTGCTCCTGCATCTGGGCTCCCATCCCAGATTATCACCCGCTTACCTGTCTGCCTCCACCATGCTGTGAGCTTCTGGTGTGTAGGGGACCACCCCTACTCCCACTGAGTCCCCAGTGCCCCACACAGTGTTGCACACTGAATATCTGTGGAATGAATGAAACCACACAACAGTTTGGTGGTTTAGCCAGATCCAGAGTGCAGGCTCCTGCCCAGGACACATATTCAAACCCTTGGAGTAGCCTCTTAGGTTACACCTCTGCCCACCCCCCACCCCAAGTTTCTCCAGGACTAGATTTCTTCTCAGACAAGCCTACTGAGGGGAATCCTAAGCAAGAGAGTCAGACAGCACTGGGTTCAAGTCCCTGCTTCACCACTCGTGACCTGTGTGGCTTTGAGCAAACCGTTTTACTGCACTCAGCCTCAGTTTTCTCCTCTGTGAATTGGGAGTTTTAACAGCACCAGCCTCCAAGATGGTTCAGGTGTTATATGTATGGACCTTCCCCGTGCCTGGAACAGGTTAGCACTCAGTACCTGGAGGGTATTCTTTCCAGAAACCAGGGCAACCAGGTGCTTGGGGAACCAGGTTTTGGGGGTGCAGTGGTTAAGAGCTATGGCTGCTAATCAAAAGGTGGGCAGTTTGAATCCACCAGACACTCATTAGAAACCCTATGAGGCAGTTCTACTCTGTCTTATAGGGTTGCTATGAGTCAGAACCAACTCAACTACAACAGGTTTGGATTTTTTTTTTTTTTTTTACTTCTCCCCACCCATGATCTCCGGAACTGGGCCATATCTCTTTAACCTGCTCCTCTTTGTCCTTCCATCTGGACACGCCTCTGGTTCCTGGTGATCTCAATAATGCCTGGCCCATCCCATGGGTCCCCGGTCCCTGCACTCACTGACCCAGAAACCCAGTCACCCCGCTCCTCACCACACCCTAGCCAGCCACTACCCTGCAGGACCTGTAGCCAAGCCCACACTGTCATATGCCACACTCTCCAACATCTGCTCATCCTCGTGCCTGTCACCGCTTCGCCAACACCCCAAGAGTGGGGAAGGAGGTAACAGTGACTTTGCCTTCCTCAGTTCACACCTATAGTCAGCCCACAGCAAGAAACAGCCTCAGGGGTGTGCGTGGTGGGGGGTGCTGTGCCCAACCCCCTGTCCTGAGTGGAGGCCCCAGCAACCTCTACACTCCCTGTCCAATGCATCCACCAGACACCAAGACATGCAGAAGATTCAAACTTGAAACAGCTGCTGTAAAAATGCATCTGCATCCAAAGCCTCTGTCCTCTGGTGCTGGGCGTTCATCCCAACAACATTGCCATGTGGCAAATCAACTAACATGGACTGAGTCCCTACTATGTGCTATGAGCATCCTCCATGTGTTATTCCGTTACCCATTTTGCCCATGAGGTCACTGGGACTCCAGGAGGTTGAGCTGCCCAGGTTCATACAACTGCAAAGCGGGGTGTCGCTCATAACTTTGCTGGAACCCTCCCCCAACTCCACTGCTCCCAGGATCAAGTCCAGCCTTCTCAGCATGACTGCAGGCTCTCCATGAACCAGCCCTGCCTACTTCCTCTCTTTTGCTCACTCCAAAAATGACTGCCACATTCCATACACCCTACTGGGAGCTACTTGTAGTTTCCTTCACCTTCCATGCTCTTGACCTTAAGTCATTCAACATCTATATCAGCAACAAAGAAGGACAAAGACTCTTCTTGTCTTCCTGAGCTCATGGGGGAGACAGAAAATAAACAATGAATATGTACTGCAGTGTGTTATATATATAGCGTGTGACAGATGCCACCACCCATCTGTTAGTTTGTCACACTGTAGTGGTTTGTGTGTTGCTATGATGTTGGAAGCTATATCATGGGTATTTCACGTAGCAGCAGGGTTACCTATGGTGGGCAGGTTTCAATGGCGCTTCTAGACTAAGACTAGAAAGAAAGGCCTAGTGGTCTACTTCCAAAAATTAGCCAAAGAAAATCCTATGGATGACAACAGAATGTTGTCTGCTACAGTGCTAGAAGATGAGCCCCCTAGGTTGGAAGATACTCAAAATACACAGTGGTCGTAACAATGGACTCATGCCGATAATCATGAAGATGCTGCAGACTGGGCAATGTTTCTTCGTGTTGTACACAGGGTTCCCGTGAGATGGAGCTGACTCAATGGCAACTAATGACAACAATAGTGTGTTGGATGGTGGAGGAAAGAACTAGAAAAGCAGGACAAAGAGGGTCAGAAATGCCAGTGTAAGGGGGGCAGCAAATGCTTCCTTCAGAAGGTAAGATTCTAACAAAGACTTGAAGGAGGTCGGAGTGAGCTTTGTGGATATCTGGGGGAAGAGCTTTCCAGACAGAGGGAACACCCTGTGCAAAGCCCTCAGTGGGGAGAGTGCCTGGCAGGTTGAAGGAACAGCATGGAGGCCATTACGGCTGAAGTGGAATGAGTGAGGGGATGAGTATAGAGGTGAAGTCAGGAAGGTGGAGGTGGGGCCGATCATGCAGGGCCTTCAGGGAATTGTAAGGACATCAGCTTTTACTCAGAGAGAAATGAGGAGCCATTGGAAGGTGGGAGTAACGTGGCCAGATACGAGTCACTCTGTTGACTGGCAGCTGTGTGAAGAGATTGCAGGGGCCACGGGTAGAAGCAGAGAGAACAACTGAGACCAGGTGCAGTAACTCAGGCACATGGTGATGGTGGCATGGACCAGGACGGTGGCAATGAAAGTGATAAGAAGTGGTCAGATTTTAGATGCTTTTTTCCCCTCATGTTATTTTTTATTGTAAATATTTAACTGAAGTAGTTTAGAAATACAAAATCTAGATGTATTTTGAAGGTACTGCCAACAGATTGTGTGTGGGATGCGAGAAAAAGAGGTTGACGCACAGAGTTTTGGCCTAAACAAATAGAAGGCTGGAGGGGCCCTCAGCTGAGATGGGGAAAGACAGGTGGATGAAGACTTGGAGTCTGTGAATGTTGAATTCTCTTCCATTCCTCCACCTGGGAGGCTCTGAACACCCCACCTGGCCTTCCTAACTCCTTCTCCCTCCTCATCTTTCAGGCCTTTCAAGTCTCAATGAGACATCAGACCCCAGCATTCCTCTGGAAGCCTTCCCTGACCCTCCCAGACTATGGTCCTTGCTCCCCATGCTGACCCCAATCCAGCATTTCCCACACTGTCTTGTAATTGCCTGTTTACTTGTGTCTGTCCCTGGCCTGAGAACTCCTTGGGGTCTGATGCATATTTATTTCTCTACCCTTAGCACAGGGCCTGGCTTGGAGCAGGTTCTCAATACATATTAGTTGGATGAATGAATAAACGATGGCCCTTTGAGGTGAGCAGGTTTTCCCACAACCTGAGAACCCAGAAGTCTCAATGATTAAAGACCAATTATATCAGTGAGTTATTGATGTTTAACAAACCACACCAAAACTTAACCTGTCGATGTCGAATTGATTCTGACTCATAGCGACCCTGTAGGAAAGAGTAGAACTGCCCCATAGGGTTTCCAAGAAGTGATTAGTGGATTCGAACTGATGACCTTTTGGTTAGCAGCCAAGCTCTTAACCATTGTACCACCAAGGCTCCAAAAACCTTAGTGGCTTAAAATCAGAGGCATAACTAAGGTAGGACAGATAAAGCACGTACCCTGGGCACTACTTGAGGAGGGGTGCTAATGAATAGTTTCTATTGGTCATTGCAATTTCCATCACCAGCTGGGAGAGATCATTCAGCAATTTGAAACTAATTGCCATAGGTGCTATTTTCCATAGATAGGCCCCTGCTTAAAATAGCAAATTTTATTTAGCTCACAATTCTGCATGTTGGCAATTTAGGCTTGGCTCAGCTGGGCAGTTGTTTGTCTCATCTGGGCTCTATCACGTGTCTGTGGTCAGCTCTAGGTTGGCTTTACTGATCTTGGCTGGGCTCTCTCACATGTCTGAGGTCTTGGCTGAGACAACTAGGCTGACCTGACCCTGAGCCACGTGGGCTCTCATGCTCCAGCAGGCTAGCCCAGGTTTGTCCTCACAGTGGAGGCAGGACCCAAAGAGATTGAGTGGAAGCACATCAGACCTCTTGATGCCTAGACTTGGAACTGGTAGACCATCACTTCCACTACATTCAGTTGACCAAAGTAAGCCACAAGATCAGTTCAGACTCAAAGGGTGGGGAAATAGACTCTACCTGTCACATTGTGAATGGCAAGGGTACAAGGATACAATCTGCTATATCAGTTGGGCATTATAAAGATAAGAATCCACCCAAATCACATCACTTTAATATCTGCTAGAATTTAAGTCTGTTGCAACCGGGGGCTTCTAAATTTGGATGGAAAATTTGGGTACCTCTGATTCCCTCTCCGATCTCCTCTTTCTCTACTTCTTTTTTTACCTCTTCCTCTCTCTCCTTCTTCCCTCTTTTTTTCTTGCTCTACGCAGATTCTGCCAAGAGTTTGCTTCCCATTGGGCATATTCCAGCCAAAGGCAGCTGACCACTGGGGCTGACAATGACATCTTTCTGGCCATGATATCCACGTGCCAGCAGAGGGAGGCTGATGTTCTTATGGTGCTCTGTGTTCTGAGAGGTGAAAATGGCATCAATTTTCTCCCTATCCGGGGGTTTACAGAGAGCAAAACTCGAGCAGATGAGGAACAAACTCCAAATGTGCTTCTTGGGTCTCTGGAGTGTGTGCCGAACCCTTGTCACCTCTGCTTTCCTCCCAGCTAGATATGGGTTGTGGGCCCAGCTCCCAAGTCTGCTCTGCAACCTGATTTGGGATAGGGGTGGAGGGAGAGTTCTGGGTACATCCTAGGGCCTCTTACCTCCCAGAAACTTCCAGAGATGGGGGGTTGGGGACATCTCTTTCCCCCACTGCCTTGTTCATAGCACTTCCCACTTTCTGAATGTATTTATTTTACGTATATGTTTGTGGTCTGTCTCCTTCTCTAGAATAAACACAAGCTCCTTCAAGGCAGGGATTTTGTCTGTTTCATTGCTGATCTCCAGCCCCCAGGTGCTGAACGACAAGGAGGACCCTGGGCCAGAATGCTGCAGGGTGAGCTGCTTCCTTGGGGGAAACATTTTGTTCTCCCTCCTGGGAGGAGGACGAGCCTGTTGGGGATGATCTGGAAGGCTTCCTGGAAGAGTGACACTGGAGCAGATGCTGAATGTCAAGGAAGACCCTGTGCCTCTCTAGCACTGGAGCTTGCGTCTGCCACATCGGGGCCGGCTGGAGAAGAACTGCTTGAAGTTTTTCTCATAGGTGGGCAGGCTCTCTTTGAAGCAGTACACGGATTGCTTGTCACATTCGCAGGCCCTCAGCCCACAGAGGCAGCCAACACCAGGACCCACGGCACATCCGCCTGCAGAAAGACAGGGGCCCAAGTGTCACTGGGAGCTCCCAGCCCATGTCCAGGGTTGGCTCTAAGGTTGAGGAGAATGGAGAGCTTGATGCAAAGGGGGTCAAGGGTTACAACAGAAAGGAAAGAAACTGGAAGGCCTTTTCCTTCCTCCCCAAACCCTTCCCAGACCACACCTGGACATCCCACAAGTGTTGGAATAAAGAGAAGCCTGGAAGGAGATAAGAGTGGGGGAGAGGAGTGTGGGTTGATGGAGGTGGGTGTCCTGAATTAGGCTGGGCTCAACTGGGCAGTTGTTTTCATTGTTACCAGTCCACAGGCTGAGGTAAACAAAAAACCCAAAGTTGTTGAGTTGATTCTGACTATGGTGACCCCATGAGCTACAGAGTAGAACTGCTCCATAGGGTTTTCTTGGCTGTAATCTTTATGGAAGTAAATCGCCAGGCCTTTACTTCTTCAGTGCCACTAGGTGGTTTTGAACTGCTAACCTTTGGGTTAGTAGTCGAGCACAAACTGCTTGAGTCACCCAGGGACCACCCAGAGAGTAAGCCAAGGTAAGGGGACCAATTTTCTCAGAACCCATCTCATATTTCCATCTGCTTGCTTGATATTCCACCTGGATGTCTCCGGCATCTCCAACCTAAGAAGTTCAAAAGGGAACTCTAGATAGACAGATGCTCCTCCGCCCGCCAAGCCTGTACTTCACCCACACTCTTGTCTCAGTAAATGGTACCACCTCCTACTCGAGCCAGAAAACCAGGAGCCGACCTCAATTCCTCCCCTACTGTGGCTTTTCACATCCAGTCTACCAGCAAGCCCAACTGGTTTTCTCTATGTTTAAACTATTTTATGTTTTGCCTTCTTGTATCCATCTTCTTGGCCACTACTCAAATCCCTGTCACTATCTACTCCTCCTTCCTAATGGGAGGAAATAAACAGGAACCTTCTTAAAATGTATCCTGAATTATGTTCACTCTCCTGCTTAAAGCCCTGCTGTGGTTTCCCACTGTTCAGAGGAGAAATCCCAAGTCCGTTTCAAAGTCTACAAAGTAGGCTGGCTGTGGTTCAGCCCTTGCCAACCTCTCCATTCTCAACGCCCTCCACTCTCCTACCCTTATTCTACTCCAGATACACTGGCTTCTTTTATGTCACATTTCTTGCTCTATCTTGTCCCAGGGCCTCTGCACTCGCTATTCTCTTTGTCTAAAATGTTTCTCCCTAGAATCTTCAAAGGGCTGAATCCATCCCATCCTCTGGGATCACTGGAAATTCACATCCTCAGACAGGCCCTCCCTGATCACTGAATCTAAAGCTCTCTCCCAGCTACTCTCTCCCTCATCCCCGTTTATTTCAATCATGGTACTTTTCACAATCTGTAATTAGTTCTTACTTGTTTACTTGCTGATTTTCTCTCTCCTCAATGGAGTGTATGTAGGCTCCTTGAGGCCAGGATCTTGTCTGTCTTGTTCACCACAGTATCCCCAGCATCCAGAACAGATGCTGGCACATAGTAGGTGCTCCACAAATAGTCATTGAATAAATGATGAAGCCTCCATAGGCCTCTGGGATTGAGTGTCTGCCTTTTGGCTGAGTCACCACTAGGTGCGGATCTTTTATTTAGTAGTCAGACCCGTGATGCCCTGTGTGTGTGTGCGCGTGCGCGCGGTGCACTTGTGGGGGTGCGCCCACGCATGCATGTGTGTATAAGGGATGTTAAAGGCACATTTTCCTTTCTAGATAACTCCGCCCCGGTTCCACTCTCTTTTTAGGGTTGGGAGGAGGGAGGCACCCAGACTACGCCCTGATTTGTGACCTTAGGCAATTTACCTAACCTCGTTTAGCTTCAGCATTCTCATCTATGGGGTAGAATTCTTGCCTTCCATGGAGGAGTCCCAGATTCAATTTCCAGCCAATGTACCTTATGCACAGCCACCACCTGTCTGTCAGTGGAGGTTTGTGTGTTGCTGTGATGCTGAACAGGTTTCAGTGGCGCTTCCAAACTAAAACAGACCAGGAAGAAAGACATGGCAATCTACTTCTGAAAATCAGCCAGTGAAAACCCTGTGGATCACAATGGTCTGATCTACAAATGATCATGGGGATGGCCCAGGACTGGGCAGCATTTCGTTCCATTGTGCATGGGGTTGTCACGAGTCAGGGGCCAACTCGACAGCAGCTAACAGCAACAACAATCCTTATCGATAAAATGGTGACAAAATAATAGCGCCAAAATAAAGAATAGCGTCTACGTCACAGGATTGTCATGAAGATTTATGTTGTCGTTGACAGATGGAGTGGTGTGGTTTGCCTAGCACACAAAAGGTGCGCTATAAATGCATGCTTTTATTAAGATGATGCCCCCTTAGCTTCACGTATAGAAAAAAGAAATATCCTCTTAAGTTGGACACAGTGCTGGCTAGAATCTGTTTGTTTGCCTTTTTCCCTCTCCAACGTCCACAATTCCTGCAGGGAGCTGTCCTCCCACGCATCTTTGGAGACTTGATTTCTCAAGACATGTCAACACTCACCCTACGCGTCAGCCCCACCTTTCCGTTTACCGGCATGAAATATGCCAGGGATGTTCATGCCTCTGAGGCTCACTTCCGGTGGCTCCCACTGTTCCCAATGCCTGGATCACCTTTGCCCTCCCACACCCCCTTCTCCATCTGTGAAAATCCTTCAAGATCCATCAAGCCTAGCTCCCCAAGGGAGTCCCTCCAGGGACCCTGTGCCCATCCATCTCCCTCTCCCCTTCTGTCCCCAGCACATCACTTACTTCCCTCCCAGAGCAGCAGCTGTGCCTGCGGGGGAGCCCACTAGGTCCTGTAGGGCTGCTTCTCTCTGCCTCATCCATCCTCACACTCCTCCCAAAGCACCTGACACCCCGATGCTGCCACTCTGGAAACTCAAAGTTAGACATTTCTCCCACCCTTCCTCAGCCACTGCCCCTTTCTTCTTCTGTCTCACCCCTTCCTCTTTCTGTTTACCTCTTTGTCTTCTGTGCCTTGCTTCTTCTCTTCCATGCCATCTTCCTTCCATCTCTATTGTCTAAACCTCTTCCTCGTTCTCTCACTCCCTTCTCCTTTTTTCTTCCTGTCTTTTCTAATGTGTGGAGTATAATTCTCTCCTGACTTTCAGTTCCACCTCTAATGGCCTGCCCGATCCCCAAGCCTTCTGGGACCAATCTTCAGCATGGTCTACATCTTCATTTCTGTGGGCGTCAGTCAGCCATGGTAGGACCAGGCCTGTCATAACCTGGAAGAAGAGGCAGCCCTAGGCCAAGAAATGCCATCTTTGGTAGCCTAGCTCCAGATCCTGCATCTTCCAGAGAAACTGAGGCACGAAGAAAGGAAGTTACTACTTCAGGACATCCCACGAAATACACTTCTACCAGTGAGGCCAGGCCTGAAGGTCTGCATTGCTGTCATTGGCTAACCCAGACCTGCTGCAAGGCCGCTGAATGTTTGCGCTCTGGCCTCAGTCCTGCCTTCTCTAAATTCTCTCCCTGGGACCTCTTGCCGAGTCTCAGGGCTTTAAATACCATCTGAGCACTGGTGACTCTCAAGTTCTCAGCTCCTGCCCAGACTTTTCCTTGACTCAAATATGCACACGTCCCATAGACACCCATTGGATGTCTGCTCTGCATCTCGAACGCCACGTGGCTCACAACTAGCTCTGGCTTTTCCCTTCATCTTCCCTCATTTTCCCAAGCTTGGTAGACGGTCCCACTATCTATGGCTGCTCAGGCCGAGAACCTAAGCCTCATCCTCTCTTTCTTTCATCCACATCCAATCCAGCAGCAGGTCCTGTCAACTCTCCCTCCAAAGTACACCCAGCATCTGACATTTCTCTCCATCCCATTGCCACAGTCACTTCTTCCCAGTGCTACCAAAACGGCCTCCTCATGGGCCTCCCTCTTTCCTCTCTTGCTTCCCTCCTTTGCACAGTAGCAGAGTGATCTTTCTAAAGCAAAATGAGAGCATATCACTCCCTGCTTCCCACGGCAATGGAAGCAGAGGCAGCTTCTTCCCACGTCCACCCAGCCCCATGGGAGCAGCTCCTGGCCCAGCCCCTAACCTCATCTCCCCTCCTTCTCAAGGCTCCTCTGCTCCTGCCACACTGGCTTTGAGGTCTCGGACCAAATGCCACCTCCTTAAAGGGGCCTTCCTTGACCACCTCACCTGTCATTCTCTATTCCATCTCCTCACATTAGGTGCTTCATAGCACTTGTCACTATCAGATGTACCTTTATTTATGAGTGCATTATGGTCTGTCTCTCCCCCACCCCAGAACTCAAGCTCCTTCAGGGCAAGGATTTTCTCTTTTCTATTACCGCTCTCCAGCCCCCATCTAGATGGTTGCCTAACTAAATAATGCTCCATCGGTATTTGCTGACTGCCCTACTGACTGGGGAGTCCCTGGATGGTGCAAAGAGTTGACCCATTTGGCTGCTAACCAAAAGGTTGGAGGTTTGAGTTCACCACCGAAGAAAGGCCTGGCAATCTACTTCTAAAAATTCAGCGATTGAAAACCTTATGGAGCACAGTTCTACTCTGACACACGTGGGTCGACAGCAACTGGTTTGGGTTTGGTTTGCACTAGTTGGAGGCAGGTCTGGGGCAGTGCAAGGAGCCTGGTCCTAGGATACAGGGAGACAGGCCCTCGTTCCACATCTGCTGCTTGCAGGCCACATGATCTTGGGCACATCATTTCCTCTCTACGAGTCAGTTTCTTCAGCTTTTCAAATGGGGATAAAGATATTGCACCACCTATTTCATGAGCTTTGCATTCACTCACTCACTCAGCAAACCTGTGTTGAGTTCCTAATGTGTGCCTGGCCTGTGCTAGGAACTGGAGGTTTAGGTAGGAGAAAGCAAGCCCACACTGCACAGTCTCAGGAGCATCGGTCTCTACAGACTCCAGAGATCGTGTCCCTGAGCAAGACAGGACACTCCCTGCTCACTCGGGACGTCCATGCTAGTTGGGGGGAGAGTATGTGTACAAGTCAACAGGATCATTTCAGATATACTAGGAGAGAAGGCGGGTGGTGTGTCCGCGCATGGAGGTTGTGGTGAGGAATGAATTCAGTAGTACATGTGAAGGACCTTTGCAGACTATGAATTCCCAGGGTTATCCTTATCACCGGTTAAGGGCTCAGCTGCTAACCAAAAGTTTGGCCATTCTTACCCACCCAGTGGCTCTGCGGGAGAAAGACCTGGCAATCTGCTTCCGTAAAGATTACAGCTTAGAAAACCCTATGGGGCAGTTCTCCTCTGTCACATGGGGTCGCTAGGAGTCTAAAATTGGCTCAGTGACACACAACAACATCAGTACCACCCTCATCACCATCCCCCTTGGCACAGGGAGGGAGGTGGCAGTGGTGAAATTGGCTAGGACCTGGTCTTTGCCTCCCATGACTGGGCTCCTCCCTGTACAATACATGTATGTGTGTGTGGGTGGAGAGGGGCTGTCACCACTGGGTGATCTGAAAGTCCCTTGCAAATGCCAAGTACTTACGTAAGCCCCCCAAAGGAGGGATAACAGCCTCCTAGGTTGCCCAAGGGCAGCTGTACCCACCAGGCAGATTGGCCCCAGGGCTTGGGTTACAGGCTTTCTTGACACTGATCTCCCAGTGACATTTACAGACACAGATAGACCAAGTTGTTTTTCTCGTTTCCCTCCCCTGCTCACCAACAGCATCCCTGGAGCGGCTGCTGGTTGCTAGGTAACCTGGGACCAGGCTTGGGTGCAGGATTTCAGAATTTAGGGAGGCTGGGGAGCTGGTTAATCCTTGCAGGGGCAGCTCTTTGAACAGTGGAGGAACGGAGGGTAGGGGAGAGATTTGATCCTGTAAAGGGTTAATGACATTAGCCCGAGGGGATGCAAGTTCAAATGAGGTGCTTCAAAGAAATTCCTGAACAGTAATAAAATCCCAGCGTTTCACCACAAAGTAGAGGGGGAAAGAAAACTTACAGAAGAAGAAGGAAAAAAAAAAAAGAAAAAAATCTCAGCATCTAAAAGGAAGGGCATCAACTAAGCTCCTACTATGTGCCAGACCCTTTCATTGGGTTATTCTAGTCAGTCCTTGCAGCAACCTTATGAAGTAAAGATTAGCATCTCCATTTTACAAATGAGGAGTCTAAGGCCCAAGGGTGGTTTGTCCAATTACCCAGTTAGACGGGGTGAAGCTGGGATTAGGATCTAGCTCTACCGGACTCCAAAGTGTGTGCTCACTCCAAGCATCTTAGCAGGAATGGAAAGATAGAGGGCATTTCAGACGAGCAAGCTTTGTCTGCCTCTCTCTGCCCTTCCTGGGCCAGGGTAGAGCATCCTGCGCAGTCTGCTACAGCCCAGTAACTTACATTTGTGCGTGAGCCCTGAAGTCAAGCACAGACTCATCACCCTCCCTAGAGCCCCATGCTGCTGGGCAGGATGGTTCAATCGAGGCAGGAGCATGAGCTCTGGGTCAGACGTCCTGGGTCCGAATCCCAGCACTTCTTTCTCTGGCTGTGTGACCTTGGCCATCTCAGTTAACCTCTCTGAACCTTGGGGTCCTCCTTGACAAAGGGGCAAATAATTCCTGCTTCAAAGGTTTATCATGCAGGCTTTCCCGACCAGTCATCTGCAGTGGAACTGCCACCAAAATGCAGATTTTCATAAAACCTCAGACGTGGAAGATTGTAACTCTGGAGGTTGAACCCTCGGATACAATAGAAAACGTACAAGCCAAGATCCAAGATAAGGAAGGAATTCTTCCTGATCAGCAAAGACTGATCTTTGCTGGCAAGCAAATGGAAGATGCTCATAAGCTGCAGCTGTTACTGTTCCTTACTTGATGGATGAGAAAACCGAGACCCAGAAAACTCAGGCCAGGCAGTGTGTCCCAGAGCACTGGAAAGGCTCAGGATGCATGTGTTTTAATTTTGATGAAACCTTGCCCTTTGTCTTCGGTCTCCCCATCACTACTGTGAGGGGTTGGTCTGGATGGTCTCTAAGGGTGCTTTCAGCTCTGGAGTTTCCACAAGACTGTGAAGGCAGAAGAGCACGGACTGGGTCTGCCTTGTTCCATGTCCCTGGCCCCTGATGCAGTACTGTCCCTGGGTGGGCACTGATGGGTGCTCAGTCAGTACTGGGCAAGTGAATGACTATGCCTGGGGCTCTTGCGACTGTGGGGCAGAGAGGGGTGGGAGGAGGTGGTCAGAAACTCAGTCCCTGGCCTCATGGGGACATCATATGTCAAAGAAGGCACTATTTTGGGGGCAACCTCTTCCAACCCCCTCTCCCGTACCCCTCCCACCAGGCCCTGGCTTTCTCATGTACTGGACATGGCCTTGGGCATCCTAGGAGAGACTCTTTGCTTGAGGCCTGAAGTTGTTCATCTCCAGAGAGCTCCAAGTTGGGAAGTCTCCATGACGGTTCTTTTCCTGTCGATAATGTGATTGGGGCAGGAGGCAGAGGGCTGAGGAGCCGCCCCGAGCTGAAGCTGGCCCTCAGTTGCAGGGGACCGAGCCCCCAGATCACACGGCTCAGGTCTCACAGCTGGTGCAGGGGGACTGCCCCCATCCCTATCTCTTAGTCTTGGGGCACTGAGCAGGAGCTCTGTTTGGGGCACTGGGGAGACCTAGGGTCTGAGCGCTGAGCAGTCAACACAAGGGGCAGGTACAAATCTCCCTCCCCCCGCCCGGGGACATGAGTGGAGTGATAGTCCTCAGACCTGGGAGGAGACAGATGGACATTAAGAAAAAACTCACAACAGCAAATTAATACACTGGAGTGGGGATGGGAGGGGAAGTGATTCATGCAACCCATGAGGCCAGGTAGGAGGAGTCGGCCCCATGACCTCTGGCTCTCAGGAGCAGCCAGACCACTGGCTACAGTGGAGTGACACTGCTCCCCAAGAAGGCTGTTGCCCAGAGCCTTTAAATGGACTGCTCTTCAGAGTCTGGACTTGCCCTCTCCACACCCACCAGCCCCAGACAGGCTCCAGGATATCGGGGACCACTACCTACATCCTGGACACTCAGTCCACCTGCCCACCATTGCCCTTTCCCTTCCACTTGAATGGCCGCAAGACTACACTTGTTTCCTTCTCTTCTCCTCCTGCTTACTTTCATGTCCCCCACAGCACCTATCACAGTGCCTGGCACGCAGTCGCCCTTAACAAATATTTGTTCGGCTGAAAGACAGCTGAGCTGCTTTGTGTAACGCATGACAGGCAGAAGGAGGAATGCTCTCAACAGCAACAGTTGCCAAGGGAAGCTGCAAAATTCAATGTAATCTCCACATATATTTATTGAGCACCTACTATGTAACAAAGGAGCCCTGATGTCTTAACGGTTAAGTGCTCAGCTGCTAACTGAAAGGTCAGTGGTTCGAACCCACCCAGGGGCTCCAAGGGAGAAAGACCTGGCAATCTGTTTCTGTAAAGACTGTAGACTAGAAAACCCTATGGGGCAGTTCTACTCTGTCACAGGGGGTCACTATGAATTGGAATCGACTTGATGGCACCCAACAACTATATAACAGGCACGTGCTCCGTGCTCAGGGAGGGTACTGGAGGTCCAGCTGCGGGCAGGAGAGACAGAGATACAAGGACTCTCCAGGAACCTGTTCCCATCGCAAAGCATTTGGAAACATCTCATTTCCTAAGAGTTCTCTGAGTCAACAAGGAGGTGGACATTAAGGAAAGGCCCAGGGTCAAAGACGCATCCTTTAGAGAAGGCTACTCACAGGCCACAGTGCCGTTGACGATGTGGAACTGGTAGCTGTTCAACACGGGCTGGCAGCCGAGCTGTTTCAGCTTCTCATAGCAACAGTCATGTGCCAGGCAGCATCTGGGGGCCAGAGGAGAGGGAGTGAGGGGCTTTCCAAGCTGGGGGAGGGGGTCCCTGGGGAATCAGCTGGAGGACCTGAGGCAGGAACAGGAAAGGACCCACACACCTCCTCCCCTGGGTGAGAAGGTGCCGAAGGTGGGGAAGGGAATTACTGATCATAAATAGCCACGACCATTTTTGGAGCCCTTTCTAGAATCTGTTGCTAGCTCATTCACTCCCCAAAGTAACCCGACGAAGCGCCATCACTGTTACCATTTTATAGGGGAAGAAACAAGATTCAGAGAGGCGAGTTTCCCAAAATCGTACAAGTAGAAAATGATGAGCCCAGGATGCAAATCTAGGTCTGTGTGACTTTCATTCAACAAATTGTTACTGAGTACCTATTATGTGCCAAGCACTGTGATTGCCTCTGAGGAAACAATCGTCTGTACAAGCAGACCTAGTGCTTGCTCTCGTGTCACTCAGTCTGCTGGCCCCTGGGAGCCAGATGGGAGGGCATTCAAGGAGAGAAAATAGCCAGAGAATAGCCCCCACAGTCCATCCCCGGTAGGAGGACGGGAATGCAGAGATGCAACATTCTGACCTGGATTCAAATGGAGGAGAAAAGAAAATGCTTCTGTCGGATGCCCTAGGCAAGGTGCTTCTGTCTTTTACCCCTCCTATCGGCAAGTGGGCTTTTCGCTGTTTATCAGCTTTGGCTAGTTGTGTTAAATGTTATTACCAGCCTTTGGACTTGGACAACGGGGAGGCACAGAGTGTTGGGGACAGGGCACAGCCATTAAAATAGGCAAATTCTTGTTCAAATCCTGACTTTGTCACTAAGAAGCTGCACGTCTTCGGGCAGGTTGTTCAGTGACTCTTGGTCTTGGATCCTCACTGTCCTCACCTGTAAAATGGGTACATCTGCCTCGTACAATCCTTGTGGGGATTAAATTAGCCCTTGAGTGCCAATCACCAATCCCAGTGCTCAGCACACAGTGGGCACTTCACTTCATGAGCATCAGTTCCCTTCCGGGACTCTGGGGTTCTTCTAACCAGAACATTCGATGGTCCCTTGAGCCCAACCCAGAGGAATCAAGCTCCTGGAGTGGGATTTCAGGCCCTGCTACCAGAACACATTTATCCACACTAGGTTGAATGTAGCTAGGAACGAGCCATTTTGCTGTCTTATTTTTTCAAATGAAATGACAAACTTTTCTGTTTCCTACCTCTCTGCACCCTCACCAAATTATACCAGCCTCCACATTTTCTGGGAATGCACACTCCACTCCCCCATACCCCATCTTTGTGAGCAGGCCCTGGCAACCAGGTTTGTATCTTGGGACCCCACCTAGATGGACAAGTTTGCCAAACTGGGCCACCCAGATTCTCCCTCCCAGAATTTGGAATTAGGACTGAGAGACAGCCAGTCAGTCTTACTGGGCCTATAAACCTAAAAACTGAGGAGCTGAGGGAAGCCCACACTTGCCACAAGGACTGAGAGGTGAAAAAGTTCCTAGAGATCCAGGCAGGATCGGCTACACAATTTGTGGGTCCTAGTGCAAAGGAAAGGTACGGCCCCTTGTTCAAAAACTAAGAATTTCAAGATGGTGACAGCAGAGCAGCAAACCAAGCATGGTCCCTTCTGAACATGAGGCCCATGCAGCTGTGCAGGTCAAACACCCAGGAAGACAGCCCTGGCTCTGGGTTCCTCAAGAGCTACCTTCTGGCTCCCATTCATTTTTTCCTTAAGCTTGACTGAGTTGGTTTCTGTTATCTGCAATTCTAATGTCCTCTCCTGCTTCCAGCACAGACTTCACTCCAAATTGAATGGCGGAGGCCTCGGAGCCCTGGCCATCTGCACTCACCTGTCAGTGTCATCCACAGGGGTCCCTTTGCCTCCAAGTCCACAGTAGCAGCCGTATCCATAATAGGAGAAGAAGGCACTCCGCCCTGTGATGTGTTTGACCATCCTTTGAAACTGCCAGAAGCTGTTCTGGGTGGGAGCCATCACTGCCAATGAGAAAATAAGGGAGAAAAAAATGCAATGAGAATGACATTAACATTCACTTTCTGACTTCCCCTAATGTTTGCATTCTATATATCATGAAATCGTGAAAACTCTGAAATGAAGTGCATGAGTGCAGCTAGTATCATTAGCCCCTTTAATGGGGAAGAAAATAGGACAAGATTTATCCACATAACCCAGCTGATTTCTTGCTAACCTGGATGCAAACCCAGTTTCCATGACATTTGGGACAATGCTTTACTGTCAACCAGTCTCCCCCTCGCCCTGCGCCCCACCCCCCAACAAAAGTGGAAAACCACCATCCTAGGAAGAAACTCCCTCAGGTCTGCTGCAATATCAACCAGAAAAAATTCAAAGCCAGAAATGCCAGTTCCTACAAATATCATCGGGCATTTATAATCTCATAGGAAAAACAAAATACTAAAGAGGCTGGAAGCTATCCTCAATTCGTATTTTTAAAATGGCAAATGCATGTGGACCTAGCAATTTTACTTCTACAAAATGCTTATGAAAGTGGGCAAAAATATAAATACAAGGATGTTTGCTGCAGCATTTTTTGTGGTATCAAAAATTTGGAAAACACCCACATGTCCACCAATAGAGGGATAATAACTAAATTATGTGTCTTGGAAATATACCACTTTAATAGCAGTATCTCTAGGCAATGGGATTGAGGAGACAGGCTGAGAAACAAGAGACATTTATTTTGTATGCTTCTATGCTGTTGGATTTTTTTTTTTTCACAATGAGTATGCATTACTTTTCTTTTTAAATGTTTCAAATGTGTGTGTATAAAGCCTAGAAAGATATGTACCCAACTCTTAAAAGTGGTTACATGCGTGTATAGGAAAAGTATTGGAATCTGGCATGGATGACGAGGGGCTTTATCTTGTTACTATGTACTCATTTATTTTACTTTTTAATTAAAAGCATGTATTGCTTTTGCAGTAAAATAAAAACATGCCCTTGAAGAAGAAAAGCAGAGACAGAGAGTTTGGGGACATTTTCCCAGGAGCCTTTCTGTCTCATTATGGTGGTTTTGGATGCCTTGTTGTCATCAAGCTCTGCAAAGGGGCAGGAAGCCCAGAAGGGGGGTCATTGCTGCCTTCCCCGGAGAGAAGACTGAACCACACCAAGGCGCTGATCTTTGGGACATGCTGTGAGCCTGCAAACATGGTCCTACCTGCATACAGATGTACCCTTCCCATGATCTTAAGAATTTCCTGCGTGCAGGTCCTCTCCAGCCCCATGATCTTGAGAACGATAAATTCTATCACTGACAAAGTAAAAAAAAAGGGAACCCTATTTTTGACATTTTGACTTAGGAGCCCAAAAGTTATTACCACAAGGTTGAAACAGAGTCCCTGGGTGGTGCAAATGGTTAACACGCTCCGCTGCTAACAGAAAGGTTGGAGGTTTGAGTCCACCCAGAGGCACCTCAGAAGAAAGGCCTGGAGATCTACTTCCAAAAAAACCTATGAAGTACAGTTCTACTCTGACACAGTGGAGTTGTCATGAATCAGAATCGATCCAACGGCAACTGGTAGTGGTGGTACACAGTTGAAACAGATAGAAAAATGGACCTGGACAAATCCCCACTCAGTGAATCAAATAAAAGAGTCTAAGAATATTCAACAGGCCTAAAAATTTTTCCTAGTAAGCCTCTTGTCACTTTGCAGAGGTATGCAATCTGATCGCCTAGTGATGACTGACAATGACCAATTATTCCATAAGTCAACATAAAACGTCTTTCTGATAAGAATTAATCTTTCTTAAATTAGATGGGTGTATATCTGCATTTTTGTTCTGCAATCCACATGGCTTTAAATAAAGGCAGCTAGCCAAAGGAATAAAGACCCCAGGCAAGGGGCAAGGGGAGGGGTGGTAAAGCAGTAGTCAAACTCCCTCTTTTTTAGTAAATGCTTAACAATCTTTGATCTCCTGGAAGTTTCATGAGATCCTGACACTGGGATCAGCCCATTTACCAAAGAAACAGAATCACGAGAAATTTGGTGGGAGCTGGCTCTTCTCCTGGTTTTCTTGTGGGTGACTCATGATTTCCCCTCACCCAATGCCAGCGGCATGACACAGACAAGGACAAGGCCCCGGAGCTCTCCATCTGGCTTACTACTTACAGCAGGAGACAAAGACAACGAGAACGGTGATGACCTTCATTCCCGAGGAGAATACAGTGTCCGAGGTACCACGGTCACACCTTTGCCTGGGCGCGAGGGGTCTGCCAGTTGAACTCCTGCTCAGGGGAGGAAATGACCAAAATGAGCACAGTGCAGGCCTTCAAAAGCCCTCAGCACAAAGACAGCTTTCCAAACCTCAATATGATACCCTTTCTGGAATTTAGACCTAAATATAAAAATAAGAAGGGTTCAATTGTCTGAGAAATGCAAGTGGGTTTTTTTTTTTTTTTTTTTTAATTTCTTTCTTTGGCAACACAATTCTTCCATTTTTTTTTTTTTCCTTTTGAAAAGTAGTATTCCCTCTGTTCCCAAGTATAAAGGGCGCATATATTGCTGGTCATAGAAATCCAGCTCAGAAAAGTTTAGCCTCGTTTGCATCATGATCCCACAGTGTTTTTCTTCCTTAATAGCCAAGTATCTTACTCATAAACTTGTCGTTGTTGTTAGCTGCCGTGGAGTTGACCTCCAGCTCGTGGCGATCTCATGCACAATGGGAAAAAATGCTGCCTGGTCCTGTGCCATCACCATGATCAGCTGCAGATGGGACTGTTCTGATCCACAGGGTTTTCATTGACTGATTTTTGGAAGTAGATGGCCAGGCCTTTCTTCCTACTCCATCTTAGTCTGGAAGCCCCACTGAAACCTGTTTAGCATCATAGCAACATGCAATCCACCACTGACAGACAGGTGGTGGCTATGCATGAGGTGCCTTGGCCAGGAATCGAACCGAGGTCTCCTGCATGGAAGGCGAGAATTCTACTACTAACCATCGCTGCTTCACACTCGTAAACTTAGTCCCTCTGAATCTCGGTGTCCTCTGCTGTAAAGTGACACTAAAAATGCCTGTCAATAATCTCTAACATTTATTAACCAGAAAACCAAAACCAAACCGACTCATAGAGACCCTATAGAACAGAGTAGAACTACCCCATAGGATTTCCAAGGAGTGGTTTGTGGATTTGAACTGCTGACCTTTTGGTTAGCAGCCAAGCTCTTACCCACTGTGCCACCAGGGCTCCAATGTTCGTTAAGAGATTACTAAATGTTGGGCACTGTTCTCCTTAAGTGCTTCACAGATATTGAACTATTTAATTCTCACCTTAAGAGGTAGATCCCATTATCATTTTAGAGATGGCGAACCTCAGACTCAGAGAGATCGAATAACTTCCTCACGCTCACACATCACAGACTTGTTATGAGGACCAAGGGAAATAATGAAACAATGGAAGTAAAACTACTTTGTACTATAAGATGCCATAGCAGTAAATGTTGTTGCTAGTTGTCACAGAGAGGATTCTGACTCATGACGACCCCATGTGTGCCTGAGTACAACTGCGCTCCATAGAGTTTTCAATGGTTGATTTTTTCAGAAGGAGATCACCAGGCCTTTCTTCCAAGGTGCCTCTGGGTGGACTCGAACCTCCATCCTTTTGGTTAGCAGCCGAGCATGTTAACCATTTGCACCACCCAAGGGCTCCTAGCAGTAAATACACCATTCTTATTACTATTAGCAATGTTGATACCAACATCAGGCACACTTCCAACAGGAAAACAGAGGAGAAAGTGGGCTCGGTGTCCCTGATGTGGAGTATGCGTATGACCGTCAACCAAAACAAAAAAAACCCAAACCCGTTACCATCAAGTCAATTCCAACTCATAGCAACCCTATAGGATAGGGTAGAACTGCCCCCTAGGGATTCCAAAGAGCACCTGATGGATTTGAATTGCCAACCTTTTGGTTAGCAGCTGTACCTCTTAACCACTACACCACCAGGGTTTCTGGCCAGTCAATAGCCTCCTTTAAATACAAGTGGTCTCCATATCAAGTTAGGCTAAATCTCGTACCAGCAGGACTTGGCTACGAACAACAGCTCCATCGGGCCTAGAAGATTTGGCAAGTGTGGAACTTTAGCTAGATTTACACCGTGTGGCAAAGTTTCCCAGGTAAACTACAAAATGAGCAACTTGCTTCTGAGCCTGAGACAGTTCATCAGGCACCTTGACTGTTTTCTCCCTCTTGAGCGAAATGCTGGTGGATGCTGTGAGGCTGGGCCCTTACCAGGCCTGGTCCCGGTCAACCTTCATGTCAAAGGTTGTGCAGGGTGTTTTTTAATGAGGTGCCATCTCTCCAGGCTTTCGCTTCCTTTTTTTTTTCTTTTGAGTCTGAAAAAGAAATCATGGGCAGGTTTCCTCCACAAAGAACAGGCTCACGTCTTTCGAAGGAACAGACGATGACTCTTTGCAGAGACAAAGAAAGGGGCCTTGGTGTGTTAGAGAGGTAGATAGACAGCTGCTGTTGAGTTGACTATGACTCATGGCAACCATATGCACAACGGAAAGAAACATTGCCCAGTCCTGCGTCATCCTCACTAGGGCCGGCACGCTCAAGTCCATTGCTGTGGCTCTTGTGCCCATCCACCTTACTGAGGGTCTCCGTCTTCCTCTCTGGCCCTCTATTTCACCAAACATTATGCTTTCCTCCAGTAACCGAGCCTTCCTGCTGACGTGTCCAAAGCAAGTGAGTCAGACAATGTTCTGTTGCGATCCATAGTTTCCATTGGCTGATTCTCTGAAGTAAATCACCAGGCCTTTCTTCCTAGTCTATCTTAGCCTGGAAGCTCTGCTGAAACCAGTCCACCATTAGCGACCCTGCTGATATCTGAAATACCCATTGGCATAGCTTCCAGCATCACAGCAACGCACAAGCCACCAGCGTACGACAGATTGATAGACAGGTAGTGGCTGAGTGCCTCACTGGTAATGAAACTGGACAGGCTCTTATTAAGT